TTTTAACTAAAACAATTAAAATACAAAACTATGTATTTAAAAGTTTTACAAAAAATAGTGGTATAACAACTAAACAACATTTTGTTGTTGCTGATACATTAAATAAATGAATATAACTTGAAATCACGATTTATATGATATCATTTTATTAATTATAAAATAATTAAACATATTTTAATCCTGAAAATGCATTTTTAATAACAAACAAATCTTCAAAATAAAAACATGAGCACAGACCCAAAGCTGTCCTTTTTGGATAATGGGAACAAATTAAAGTTCCCACTGGTTTATGATGGGTTTAAAAAAGAATTACAAGTTGATCTTGTAGCAAATCCACGAACCGGAAACAGTTTACTTGCCGACTCTTACAGTGAACTGCAACTTTCAAGAAAAAAATATCTAAAATTAAAAGTAACAAAAAAATATAACAATCCAAACACTTTTAATGTATTATCAAAACACAAAAATTCTTTTATGTTGACTTCTCGAGCCGACGAATTGATAATATATGGTTTAAATTCTGGACTTCTTCTTTTGTCCAAATCTGAATACATTATGGGAGACGATACATTCAAAATAGTTATGTAAAAGGACAGTTGTATATATTGCATGCGTTTATTAATGGAGTCGTTACCTCATGTCTTTTTGTTAAAATGAAAAGTCTTGAAACTATCTACTATGTTGAAGTGTTTGGAGCGATTGAAAAATTAGCAAAAGAACGTGGAATCTACATATTTAGAAAACATCAAGACTTGAATCAGAGTCGAGACAGTTTGGTTAGAACTTATTAATTATAGTTATTAATAAAAATTAAATAATATTTGAACAAATGTAAATACTAAATATTATTAAACTTGTTATAAACAATATTGTTAGCCTGAATATAAACAAATTTAATATAAATGAATTCTACACATTTAATTAACCTTACGATACTGTTACTGTTTTAAATAAAACACAAATTTTTTATTTTTCTGAACTTGATATGATATACAAAAAAACTTACCTTGTGGCGACTCTTTTGAAATGTAAACAGTAAACAAACCAATCGCGCAAACAATAATTTATAGGTTTTCCTTTTTTTCTTCAATTTTTGGAAATGTTTTAATTAAAACACTAACGGTATTGGCGTTTTCATCAACAAAACATTTTTTACCAAAAAAATGTTTTATAATAGAAAAAAAAGAATAGTAAGGTTAAATGAGCACTATTTGAAAAACTAAATATTTATTTCTTCAAATCAACAATTTAACCACTTGAAATGTGTTTGAAGATACCGACTTGAACATGGGAACAATGGTGATATTGTTCTGTTAATTGTGTTCAACAACAAAAACA